GAGGGAGGGGAGGAGAAAGAGAGAAAGAGAGAGAGAGAGAGAAAGAGGGAGAGAGAGAGAGGGAGAGAGAGAGGCTTCGATGTGAGAGAGACACGATTGGTTGCCTTTCACACGCACCCCAACTGGGTCCAGGGATAGAACCTGCAACCCAGATCCATGTCCTTGATCGGGAATTGAACTCACAACCCTTCAGTGTGTGGGGGCCATGCTCTAACCACTGAGCAACAATGGCCAAGTCTTGATGAGAGTATTTTTAAAAAATCACCTTCTGGGAAGGCAATGTGGTACCAGTTTAAAAAAAAAAAATCTTAAAAACTTGGCTTACTCTTCTACCCAACAATTCAATTTCTATGAATTAACTATGAGTGTGTACCAAACTAAACTACAAAGCTATTCATTGTACTATTTAAAACTAATACCAAGTTTGATCAATCTAAATATTCATAAAAAAGAGATTAATTAAATAACTGGTGATGTTATAAATAATACAAGATTACATGGCTAGTAAATCATGTTGCAAAAGACTACATATTGGCATGGTAAATATTTATAATGCATCAAATGAAATCATCAGGCTACTAAACAGTATGAATAGTACAATCTATATTGTGTGTGTGTGTGTGTGTGTGTGTGTGTAAATGTGTTGATGTCTGGAAGAAAGGGCTGGGAGGTTGTACTGCATCATGATAACAGCATGGAGGGCTGATGGAGGGTTTTAATTTTCTTCTTTATGATTTCTGTATTGTCTGTTTTTTTTTTTTTTCAGTGAATATGTGCGATGTTTGCCATATGGGGGAAAAGAAATTTTTGTTTTTAAAAGAAATGGATTAAAAGAGCAATAGATTAAAATTGGCTGTGCCAATCAGAGATGATATAATGATGGATCTTGAAGGATGTGTAGGTGACAGCAGCGGGTGGGGCAAAGGGGCAGGTTGTACACAAAATGATTTTGTAAAGCACCACGTCTTTGAGGCAAAGGAAGTTGCTGGGGTTTGGTCCAAGTTAGCTATGTGTAGTTGGTAGTGGAAGTTAAGGCTGGAAGGGTAGGTTAGGGCTGAATTGTGGAGGGCACTGAATGCCACACTTAAGATACTAGGATTCGATTTACTAGGAAACGGGCAGGCATTGCTATTTGAACAGATGAGTGATATAATCAGTTTACGTTAGGAAGATTAATTTGATAGCAATGGGGAGCACTGATGGTTTCTAGGCAAATAAATGATATCATCAGAGCACCATTTGTAGAAAGATAAATCCCGTAGTAGTGGGGAGAAGAATGAATGGGAGGCCTAAAGATTTGATAAGAACACAAATTGGGAAGGCATTACAATAATCTAGGTGAGAAATGAGTGTCTCAAGTAGAGCAACAGCCGTGCGAATGCAAAGAAGGAGATTCCTTAAGGAGAAATTGCATGAATGTTATCTCAGCATTTGGCAACAAGCTCTGTGTCCGTGTTTGTATGTGGATGTTCCTGCATGCTCATGCTTATGTGTAGGTGTGGGAGGGGGCATAGGAAAACATGAGGGGAAGGGAGAAATTCGAACTGGTTAAGGCTTTGAGCCTGAGTAACTGAAAGTACGGTGGAAGCATTCATAGATTTAGGATGGGGTGATGGGAGGAATACAATAAATTCATCTTTGGAGATGCTGGGTTCCAGGGATTGATGGTCAACACAGGTTTGGAGGTCTGAAGTTCTGGAGAAATATTAAGGCTAGAAGAAGACTGCAGATTCATATACACACAGAGGGAGCAGCTGAAGTTGCTGGAGTGAATGAAGTAGCTGAGGTAAGAGAGGCCTAGGAGGCAATAGTGCCTAGGATGGAAGCTGGGGAAATCCTTCTATCTGTTTTCTCATTGCAATTTTCAACATCAACCAAATCTTACCAAAAGGGGGGAAAAAAAGTGCATCTGTTCATAAGCCATGTCATATTTTTCTTTATGTGCTTAGGCAGAATGAAAGGTGCTAATTTGTATGTCTACCACTCATCTATGATACATGAATTAGCGACTGAGAACAGGAAAGCCAGCCAGAAAGCCTATTTAAAAATCATTCATCCACTTGGAGTTGGAGCTAAAGATATTTCTAATACCCACCTTCTAATTTATCTTTTAAAATTTAAGCATTTAATTGGTTTACACTCTTTTCTTTGGATGAAGGCCAGTGCTGCCTGATGAATTTCTGCTGCAATTACTGGAAACAAGTGAAACTCAAATCATAGTGGTTCTAAGTGAGGCACAGTACGGCATGCTAATAAAGCTGTGTTAGTGACATCTCAGATTATCTTGCCAAAAGATGCAAAGTATGGTTGGTTTAACATACCTGCTCCATTTAAAGCTGTTTATCCGTTTTATAGAAAATCTGGTCTATTCTGCCCCACAAATACTTTCAATACGATGTATATTAAACACGATAGTGAGAATGTGTTTGGTTCCTTTGGTTCAGTTGCTTTTGTGAATTAGATGAGCCATGAGGAACAAAAGGCACAGCAGTTCTCATTCTGAAGATCAAGGGGGCTATTTTATATACTTTACTTAAGTAAAGCCAGTTTCCTGAGGGCTCTCAAAAGTGATACAGAAAATGCATGGCTGAGAATCACTTCAACATAATAAGGTAAAGATTAATTTTTCGCCATCAAATGAAATGAACTGCTTCCAGCCAATCAAGGCACAGAGGTACGGGCACATTGAGCAGAGCACCCTTTGAGGGTGCTGAAGCTTTGTTATTTTTCGAGTTTACTATGTCTTTTTCAGACAACAAGCTGCCTGTAATGTCTATTTGTATGCCTAAAGAAGGGTACCTTACTTGCTGCAGGCTATGGCTATGACGGCAGGCTACTGGACTTTTCTCTCCTCCTAACTGAACTTGTGACAGGAAGGAAAACGCTGCACTTCTGTGCAGGGTAAACCGAGGGAACTAAACAACTCGTGTTTGAGCCCTGTAAGAAGAACATAATATTTTGCTCACACGGAGACCAATGAATAAAACTATGTTGACATATGTGACATACCGACACACCACTAGAAAGATATGGCGGGGTCCCGGAGTCGCGCGGTGGCGGGCCGTGCGG